AGCACTCAGGAGTAGCATTTTAAGCCGGTGTTGTTGATGTTACAATTACAGCTTCTCTATTRTTTCATAACTGTTTTGCAGTTGATGCTTCCATTAGAAAAATGAAGTTGAAATGTTGTGGATGTTTTTGCGGAGCAGACTCTGGTGTGACATTGTACTGATGATTCCAGCAGATTCAGGGTGTTCTGCCCTGATTTAGAGTGACCTTATTGCAGATTTATTCCACTAACTACAGTAATTTACAGAGCTTGCTGCTGAGCTGCCCRGTGCCCTGGCTCTTTCAGTGCCACTCTGAATGCCCAGAAGCTGTGATATTTCCAGYTGAATTCAGTGGCCATCACCGTGCCAGGCTGGGCTGGCTGTGTGCTGGCTGCTGTTCTGTGCCAGGGTCTGTGGCATTGCAGTGACAGGGAAAAGGTGCTGGCACTGAGGGAGGAGCTGAACACGCTGTCCTTTCCTCCTGGTGAAGGGCTGTGCAGATGGGGATGTGCAGGAGGGTTGGTGGTTCCTGTGCAGGAGGGTTGGTGGTTCCTGTGTGACAGGGTTGGTGGTTCCCGTGTGAGAGGGTTGGTTCCTGTGTGACAGGGGTGGTGGTTCCTGTGCAGGAAGGTTGGTTCCTCTGTGTGTGTGACTTGCCTGGCTGTGCTGTTTGTGGCTGGGCCCCTGGCTCTGTGATCCCGAGATTGCTGTGACAGTGACAGACTGTGCCTGGGAATGGTTGTGTTCCCGTGTCACTGAGGGTGAACAGCAGCAGGTGTGGCTGACACGACTGAGCTGTGTGTGGATCTSTGTTCCCTTCCAGGTGTACGCCTGCATGATGGTCTTCTTCCTGAGCAACATGATAGAGAACCAGTGCATGTCCACGGGGGCTTTTGAAATCACTCTGAATGGTGAGCAGAGACTTTCCTTGAGAGGATCTTATGTTTGACATGACACACGGGAGAGCTGTGGGCTGGGGAGAATGAGGGATGGTGACAGGAAATTTGTGTCCCAAATGGGATAATGTACAAATTGCCATCCATCTGCATCTTCAGATGTTGTCTGTTGCAATAAATGATGGAAATCATAGGAGTSCTATAAAGCAGTTTGTACAGATGTCAGATACTCTCCATCCGTATGATACATTTCTAAATTATAGCATTAGATACTCTGGTGTCCCAGTTGGGCTGGGGTTTAGCRTGGCCAGAGCTTGGAAGCATTGTTGATTTAGATTTTTTCCTCAACACAGATCAGTACCAATTCACACAGCTTCCTGGAGCTTTTCAGTTCTGTGTTTTCACCAGCTGTAACTGTTTTCTGCTGTGCCCATTGTAACAGTGCTTTTCTCTCCTCTGTGTGTTCTGTGCCAGATGTCCCAGTGTGGTCCAAGCTGGAGTCTGGCCACCTCCCTTCCATGCAGCAGCTCGTACAGATCCTTGATAACGAGATGAAGCTCAATGTGCACATGGAGTCAATGCCCCACCATCGATCATAGCCCCATCGAGCAGCACTGAAACTTCTCGTAAGTGTCTCCAGTCACCAGTGTTTGCCCGCTGAAATGGGCACACTGGATTGTGTCAATGTTGTCATGGAGATCCTGCTCCCAGTGTTAAACTGCTGTGTGGTGTCACAGAGGCTCTTTGGCTGGGCAGATCTGGGTTATTGTGCCTGTCTCAGGGCAGGCATTCCATGAGAAAGGATGGCAGGTTTGGGTTGTGGTTATTGTGCCTGTCTCAGAGCTGGCATTCCATTAGGATAGCAGGTTTGGGTTGTGTGTGTCTCAGAGCTGGCATTCCATTAGGATAGCAGGTTTGGGTTGTGGTTATTGTGCCTGTCTCAGGGCAGGCATTCCATGAGAAAGGATGGCAGGTTTGGGTTGTGGTTATTGTGCCTGTCTCAGAGCTGGCATTCCATTAGGATAGCAGGTTTGGGTTGTGGTTATTGTGCCTGTCTCCGAGCAGGCATTGCATGAGGATGGCAGGAGAAGTGCATGCAGAAGGCCTGGTGTCAGGTGTGTGGTGCAGAGATCAGAACCAGGCTGTGTTTTGAGCCGTGGCACAGGCTGTGTGCAGGGCATTTAGGTCTCCCTGGCTTTGAACCCAGTTCAGTTGCCCAGCCTGAGGAATGGGATGCTGTCCTGTTCTTGTGTAACCCTGGAGAGCAGAACCCTGTCCTGATTCTGTTCCCATACTGCCTCTCTGCAAAAGCTGCACGGCTGTTGGTRGCACAGGGTTCACATTCTGTAGGTATTGTGTGACAAACCAATTCCCTGTTCCCGTGTCACCTGTGGCTTTCAAAACACAGAGCTTACGATTCCCCATGTGGGGCTGGCCCAGTGCGGGTGTGCAGCAGGCTCGGTGTGGGTGTGACCCTGGCCCAGTGCGGGTGTGACCCTGGCTCAGTGTGGGTGTGACCCTGGCCCAGTGTGGGTGTGTCCCTGTCCCAGTGCGGGTGTGCAGCAGGCTCGGTGTGGGTGTGACCCTGGCCCAGTGTGGGTGTGACTCGGGCCCAGTGTGGGTGTGACCCTGGCCCAGTGCGGGTGTGCAGCAGGCTCGGTGTGGGTGTGACTCGGGCTCAGTGCGGGTGTGTCACTGTCCCAGTGCAGGTGTGTCCCTGGCTCAGTCCTGTTGTGCAGCAGAGCTGTTCCCAGCTGTTCCCAGATGTCTCCAGCTGTTCCCAGCTGTTCCCAGATGTCTCCAGCTGTTCCCAGCTGTCCCCAGCTGTTCCCCCTGTCTCCCCACAGGCATTGGGTGGTGTTCCCGGGCCCAGTGCAGGTGTGACCCTGGCTCAGTCCTGCTGTGCTGCTGTGGAGCAGGGCTGTTCCCAGCTGTTTCCTGTGAGCAGGGCTGTTCCCAGCTGTTCCCATCTGTTCCAGCTGTTCCCCCTGTCTCCCCACAGGCATTGGGTGGTGTTCCCGGGCCCAGTGCAGGTGTGACCCTGGCTCAGTCCTGCTGTGCTGCTGTACTGCAGGGCTGTTCCCAGCTGTTTCCATCTGTTCCAGCTGTTCCCCCTGTCTCTCCACAGGCATTGGGTGGTGGTTCCTGGGCCCAGTGTGGGTGTGACCCTGGCTCAGTCCTGCTGTGCTCCTGTGCAGCAGAGCTGTTCCCAGCTGTTCCCAGCTTTAACCCGGGTGTCTCTCCACAGGCATTGGATGGTGTTCCTGGGCCCAGTGCAGGTGTATCCCTGGCTCAGTGTGGGTGTGTCCCTGGCTCAGTCCTGCTGTGCTGCTGTGGAGCAGGGCTGTTCCCAGCTGTTTCCTGTGAGCAGGGCTGTTCCCAGCTGTTCCCATCTGTTCCAGCTGTTCCCCCTGTCTCCCCACAGGCATTGGGTGGTGGTTCCTGGGCCCAGTGTGGGTGTGACCCTGGCTCAGTCCTGCTGTGCTCCTGTGCAGCAGAGCTGTTCCCAGCTGTTCCCAGCTTTAACCCGGGTGTCTCTCCACAGGCATTGGATGGTGTTCCCGGGCCCAGTACAGGTGTGACCCTGGCTCAGTCCTGCTGTGCTCCTGTGCAGCAGAGCTGTTCCCAGCTGTTCCCAGCTTTAACCCGGGTGTCTCTCCACAGGCATTGGATGGTGTTCCCGGGCCCAGTACAGGTGTGACCCTGGCTCAGTCCTGCTGTGCTCCTGTGCTGCAGGGCTGTTCCCAGCTGTTTCCATCTGTTCCAGCTGTTCCCCCTGTCTCTCCACAGGCATTGGGTGGTGGTTCCTGGGCCCAGTGTGGGTGTGACCCTGGCTCAGTCCTGCTGTGCTCCTGTGCAGCAGAGCTGTTCCCAGCTGTTCCCAGCTTTAACCCGGGTGTCTCTCCACAGGCATTGGATGGTGTTCCCGGGCCCAGTACAGGTGTGACCCTGGCTCAGTCCTGCTGTGCTCCTGTGCAGCAGAGCTGTTCCCAGCTGTTCCCAGCTTTAACCCGGGTGTCTCTCCACAGGCATTGGATGGTGTTCCTGGGCCCAGTGCAGGTGTATCCCTGGCTCAGTGTGGGTGTGTCCCTGGCTCAGTCCTGCTGTGCTGCTGTGGAGCAGGGCTGTTCCCAGCTGTGTCCAGCTGTTCCCAGTGTCACCCCTGTCTCTCCACAGGCATTGGGTGGTGTTCCCGGGCCCAGTGCAGGTGTATCCCTGGCTCAGTGTGGGTGTATCCCTGGCTCAGTCCTGCTGTGCTCCTGTGCTGCAGTGCTGTTCCCAGCTGTCTCCAGCTGTGTCCAGCTGTTCCCCCTGTCTCCCCACAGGCATTGGGTGGTGTTCCCGGGCCGCGTGGCGCAGACCCATGAAGGCCTGCACTCAAGACAGCCGCTGTTGGTGCAGGCTGGACGCCTCTCTCGCWGCCACGCTCAGCCTCCTGGACAAACACTCAATGGGCTTGGTTTCGGTGCTGACTGCTCCGCACTGCACAGCCACTCGTGCAATAATACTGTATAGTTTTTTTAAGACTTCATTCGACCAGTTCAGAGCTCAGCAATGCAGGCATTACTAATGGTAACTTATTTTATATTCATGTTTCACACGACGGCAAATTGAGTTGATACCTAATTTTTTTTTCCCTCGGGAGAAAAAGAGAAGTTTGTTTAATCTGTTGTATTTTATATGAATTTATGTTCTTTTTGTAGTTTAAAAATGAAGTTATAGGAGCGTCTGATATTGTTGAGTTAATTGATAGCTGTCTRTCAGATCTCTCTAACGTGGTTAAAACAGGTTTGTATATTTTTCGAAATCTATGGCAGAGTCAAACAGTGCATTATATACTGAATTATTATATAAGCAAAAATTATATGCGGAATAGTTAAACATCATTTGGTGACTTCAGTGAAAATTAAGATCAGCTGCTCTTTAATCATGTGGGCCAGCTCCAGCAGTTCTTTGTTTGAGAGATTTGAGCTGGGCCTTCCTGCTGTCCTGAATGGAACCCAAGAACATATTAATTGAAATAAAAGAGTTCCCATTTCCTGTGTGAAGTACCTCGTTTGTCACTGATGGACATTCTTGGAACTGCAATTGGAAAAAACTGCATAAAAAGCCAACTTGCCAAAGTTACCGAGCTTGTTCTTGTCGTGTGTCAGATCCTGCTGTGCTGGGAGGGGGCTTGGCGTGACCATTCAGGGCCCTGCACAGCTCAGGTGTGCGGCCCTGGGAGAGAGAAGCTGCCCTGCTGAACCCTGGGTTTGAAAGGAGGATGGGGGTTCTTCACTGGGAGAGAGAAGCTGCCCTGCTGAACCCTGGGTTTCAAAGGCAGCCCCAGGAGGGTGGGAGGTTCTTCACTGGGAGAGAGAAGCTGCCCTGGTGAACCC